TGTTTACAAATTGGTCCAGATCAAAGAATTATTCTTTCCCAGTCAGCTACCAAGGTTGTGAAGAAATTGTGTTTCCTACTTGGGAAATAGGGCCATCCCTGGCTTGATGGCTCTTGGAGGAGGGGCAGGGTGGCTGGAGAGGAGTGCAGTCATCAGCTGTGGAAGAATCTCCTTGGGCTGTGGGCATCATGGTGATGGAATTTCCTCAGGGACACACACGCTTCTTGATGCAAGATTTTAAATTACCGTCCTGGGCTGGGGAGATGGCTCAGTAGAATAAGTGCTTGCCTGGCAAGCACAAGGGCCTGAGTTCAATCCCCAGTTCTGCAAAAAAAAAAAAAAAAAAAAAGAAAAAAAAAAAAAAAATAAATAAATTACCGTCCTTTTTGGCTGGAAGGCTTAGAAGCCATTTGATTACACTTTCTCATTTTATAGATGAAGAAATGAGGCCCAGAAACATGACCTGAGTTTCCTAACAGCTGTGCTGATTTGAGATAGAACTGGATCTGGAGCACAAACTCATTTTGTATTATCGTTCTTCTAATTCATGAGGCTGTGATGCTCATGCTAAAATTTAAAATGCTGGGCCAGGGAGATGGCTTAGTGGAATAAGCGCTTCCCTGGCAAGCTCAAGGGCCTGAGTTCAATCCCTGGTTCTGCCAAAAATAAATAAATAAATAAATAAATAAATTTAATTTAATTTAATTTAAAATGCCTAATTTTGCCAGCATTTTTTCAATTGAGAAAATTACCAGGGTTTAAAAGTTAGACTTTTTGATATGAATCACTGTGTACTGAACTACAGAGCAGCATATTTAATCTAAGAAGCCATAGATTGTAAAATATACCATTATTTTGTGTACCACTAAAAAGGTGGGGTGAGGGAATTGTCAGTTAACTTGTGACAGGTCCTTCATGGGCAAGGCTACTTGAATTTGAGATGCTAAAGAGAAGAAAGGATGCCAGAGTCAGTGGAATATGGTATTTTGAGTGTTCTTCAGGAGAATTTCAGAGTCCCAAAGGCGATCTTCAATCCTGTATCTTTAGTGAGAATATTTTGTTTGCTTGACTCTGGCACCTTAAAGCCAGCTTTAACCATTTTGCAAATATCTGGGTTTTGCTTTGTTACCCACTAAGAGCAGGGAGGCTATTGCCTTTTGTACAATAGTTGTACATTGAGAAAGTGTGCGTTTTAATGAATGACAAGTTAAAATACCTGTCATTCATTAAATTATTATTACTTATTTGGTATGTTGTGTTCTACGTGATTACAGAAAGCCAATCTTTTCCTTTCCTGATTGGAGCAACAGCTTTCCCAGAACTGCGGATAAATTAGTTAAAAGATCAGTTCTTTCCTCTCTTTTAATATGAAGTGCTACTGAGTGTGGCAGCTTTCATGATGACAGGAAACTTGCATCAGTTGAATATACTCTTGAGAAATTCAAGTTTGCAAAGTGTCACTGACTTCCCCAAAATGAACAGGCTCAGGAAATTTTCCTATGCACTCAGAATGCTCTAGTTTTAAGTACATTATTTATTGTTGGCAATACCTCAGGGATTTCTTTTCTATTGATGAATGTAATTGATGTAAGAATGTTTCATAAATGGGAAATAATATTTTTATTGCTCTGTCAGTTTGATATGAAGTAAAATAAAGTTTTCTCTTCAACGCTTTATGCAACCCCGCCCCTTGTCATATCTGTAGTTATTAGAATACAGAAAAACAAACTGTTGACCAGTGAGGTCATGTATCAAATGCAGTGTTACTTCACTGAGCTATGCATATAACATGCTCAAAGCATTTTTAGGGGAATGTAAGTGTGCCACAGCTTTGTTACCCCCAGTCTGTTCACAGTGAGAGGGTTAGGGTATAGAGTTTATATTCAGGTTTAAGGAATTTTATGGAAGGGCTGCTGGGGTTAGTTTCATCAATTGTTTTGGTTAGCAACATAAACATATTTATGAGCACCTGGAAATGTTCCAGGATTGGCTTGGGCTCATGCTTGCTGGGAAAAACCTGCAGTGGCCTGAGTCACAGGGCAGTCAAGGCACTCTGAAAGAAAATGTGTGTGTATGTTTGGGGTGGGGACTTCTGGTCCTTACAGGAGTGATCCCAGAAATCACCAATATGGGAATGAATAAGTAAGACAGAAAAAGTAAGATCAGAAAGCAATCATGGTCAAGCCAGCTACCCAGTGGGCAGCAAGAGCCTAATCCTACTAAAGAGTCCAATCAGTTGGAGGTGGAGGGCTGCTTGTGGGAGGCAATACTTTCCTGGCACATCTGGGCTGCCTCTACTGGTCATAGAGTGAATTCCAGAAGTCTGAGAGGATACTCAGGCCAGCACAGTTCTGGGCAGTTCAGAGTTGGGTGGGTGGGGGCTGGGGAGATAGCTCAGTGGCATAAGCACCTGCTTGGCAAGTGTAAGGTCTTGAGTTCTAATCCCCAGTACTGAAAAAACAAAAACAACCAGACAGGCACTGAAGATTTATGGATGTGTACCAACAGTGTCTTGCCCTTGTGTGGCCCAGATTCATCTGTGCCCACATTAAATTGATTCTGTCCTGCTATATTCTTAAA